TCAGCCTTCCAAGTAGCCGGAATTACAGGCATGCGCTACCACGCCCGGCTGATTTTTTGATTTATTGTTGAGATGAGGTCTCACTGCCCAGGCGGGTCTCGAACTCATGGGCTCAGGCAATCCACTCACCTCAACCTCCTAAAGGCGTGGGATTACGGGCTGAGCCACCGAGCCCGGCTGTAGTGTTTTTTAAGTGTACAGTTCAGTGGCATTAAATACATTCACAATGTTGTGCAACCACGCCAGTATCCATTTCCTGAGCTTTTCATCATTGTAAGCAGAAGCTGTACCCATTAAGCAATGACTCCCTTTCCCCTCACTTGGTAACCACTCTTCTGCTTTTTGTTTCTAAGTACCTCGTATATGTGGGCTCATACAGTGTTTATTCTTTTGTATTGGATTGTTTCACTTAGCATAATGTTTTCAAGGTTTATTCGTGGAGTAGTATATATCAAAATTTCATTCCTTTTTAAGGGTGAATAACATTCCGGTGTATATGTATAGACCACATTTTGTTTCTCTATTCATCAGTTGATAGACACTGGGGTTGTTTCCATCTTTTAGCTATTGTGAATAATGCTGCTGTGAACAGTAGTCTACAGATATGTCCGAGTCTCTGCTTTGAATTTTTTTGGTGTATGCCTAGAAGTATAATTGCTGGATCATATCTATGTTTCACCTATGAAGGAACCACCAAACTGTTCTCTGCAGGGGCTACTCCATCCACATTCCCACCAGCAGTGTATGAGGTTTCCTGGTTCTTCTGTCCAATGCTTATTTTCTGTTTTGTTTTGCTTTAATTATAGCCATCTTAGTGGGTGTGAAGTGTTATCTCATTTTGAAAAGCACATGTTTTCATGTGCTTGTTGCCATTTCATGTGCTTGTTGCCATTTGCCATTTGGAGAAACATCTATTCAGGTGCTTTGCCCGTGTTTTAAGTGGGTTGTTTGTCCTTTTGTTGTTGCTTTGTATGTAAACTTTCCTGAGAAAGACATACTTTCTAATAGTCTGAGTTTTGTTTTGTTTTTTGTAGTAGGAGCCTCCGTTGCCCAGGCTGGTGTGCAGTGGCACACTTATGGCACCGCAGCCTTGACCTGCTGGGCTCAATTTATCCTTCCGCCTCAGCCTTCCAAGTAGCTGGAGCTACAGGCTGGAACTACAGGTGCATGCCACCATGCCTGGCTAATTTTTTTGATATATTGTAGAGACGAGGTCTCACCAAGTTGCCCAGATTGGTTTCAAACCCCTAGGCTCAGGCAATCCTCTCGCCTCAACCTCCCAAAGTGCTGGGATTACAGCCACCACACCCAGCCTAATAGTCTTGAGTTTTGTGTGGCCCAGCTCCAAAAGTTACTGCTAAACTTACGGTAGCTTCTTGATTGCAGTAGAAGAAACAGGAAGACAAGTGACAAGTAACTTCCCCAGTGCTGACACTGGCTAGGCTGATCCTTCCTCACATGTTTTCTCCCCTTCTGCTAGGCCATGGGGATCAATGACCTGCTGTCCTTTGATTTCATGGACGCCCCGCCGATGGAGACCTTAATCACAGCCATGGAGCAGCTGTACACCCTGGGGGCCCTGGATGACGAGGGCCTGCTCACTCGCCTGGGCCGCAGGGTAAGGACGGGCTTCACCGCCTGTGCTTTGGGAAAGCTCCCTGGCCCGCCTCTTCTATCTTTTGGTCTGTGCAAATCAAACTAAAGTCCCAGGGAAGCTTTGAGTGGATTACAGATCTTGTTTTTAACCTGCATTTTTCCCACTGTCACTTTAAACTGCTTCCTCTCTGTAGAAAAAGGATTCCATTCAGTTAGTTTTACCTCAGGCTACATCATTGAGTCTAGCCTTGGTTACACATGGTATCTGCAATTCCCACCTACCCCAACAGTAGTTACATGCTGGGTCCCATACGTCTCACTGGGGTTTCTTTGGGAAAGGAAAAACAGCAGCATTCTTCTCACGGGGCCAGGCATCCCACATCATGAGCTTTAGGGAAGTCTATGCCGTGTCGTCGTCGTCGTCCGTCCCCGTCCCCCCCCCCCCCCCCCCAGACCGGTGGTAACTGGCAAATCCAGATGCAACTTCCACAGGATCAGTTGTAGTTTTTTTTCCTCCCTCTAGATGGCAGAGTTCCCTCTGGAGCCAATGCTTTGCAAAATGCTCATCATGTCTGTGCATCTGGGCTGCAGCGAGGAAATGCTGACCATCGTCTCCATGCTGTCTGTGCAGAACGTCTTCTATAGGCCCAAGGTAGGAGTCCAGACCCACGTTCAGCTGGGGGACCCACATGAGGGTGGGGGGAGAAGTCAGCCTGTGGCCTTTCCGATGCTTGGGACGCTGTTGGTGGGGCGTTGCCAGGGTCTCTAGAACTTCCCATTGTCTGTGAGTAGCTGCCAAGTAGGAAGTGACCCTCTGTCCCACTGCTTGGCAGGATAAACAAGCCCTCGCGGATCAGAAGAAGGCCAAATTCCACCAGACTGAAGGGGACCACCTCACCCTGCTGGCTGTGTACAATTCCTGGAAGAACAACAAGTTCTCCAATCCGTGGTGCTACGAGAACTTCATCCAGGCCCGTTCCCTGCGCCGGGCCCAGGACATTCGCAAACAGATGTTGGGCATCATGGACAGGTGAGCTGGTACCAGGCACCTTCCGTGCTTGGCTGGACTCCTCGAGCGTAATGTCTGCTCGTCTTGGGGTGTACCTTTCAGCTATAGGCACCTCTTCTCCTGCTCCTCACATGACACTTTTCCTCCAGCTTCTCCATCATTTTCATATTCCTTCTCCCCAAACAAGGGTATGACTGAGCGTGACTTCAGAAAGTTCCTGGGAGGGCCAGGTGTAGTTGCTGTATTCCCAGCACTTTGGGAGGCCAAGGCAAGAGGATTGCCTGAGCCTAAGAGTTCAAGACCAGACTTGGCAACTTGGGCAATACCTTGTCTCTACAAAAAATTAGCTGCGCATGGTGGTGCGTGCCTGTAGTCCAAGCTGTTTGGCAGGCTAAGGACCAATCGCCTGAGCCCAGCAGGTCAAGGCTGGGGTAGCCATGATTGTGCCACTGCACTCCAGCCTGGGCGACAGAGTGAGACTTCTACTCTAAAAAAAGTAACAAAGTTCTTGAGAGGAAGGTGATTTATTAGTTGTTGAAAAAATGCTCATGTTTACAAGTCTGGAACATTATTCATCTGTAATGGGATTCTTCCTGAGCGAAGTAGCTGGCTTTTAGCAGCCCCATCTGCCCACTGCGTGGAGCTGCCTTAGAGCTGGAAGGAAGATCCTGGTATCTGCTCCAGGGACCCCAAGATGAGGGTGTTGGGCACTGCCATCCTGGAAGAAAGAGCCTCTGATGCAGAGGCTCTCTGATGCACGTCTCTTCTCCTGTCTTGACAGACACAAGTTGGATGTCGTCTCCTGTGGCAAGTCTACCGTCCGAGTGCAGAAGGCCATATGCAGCGGGTTCTTCCGCAACGCTGCCAAGAAGGACCCGCAGGAGGGATACCGGACCCTGATCGACCAGCAGGTGGTCTATATCCACCCCTCCAGTGCGCTCTTCAACAGACAGCCGGAGTGGTACGCAGCCGGGCCGGGTTGGGGACTTCTCTGGGGGGAGAGAAGCGGGCACTCGGTGCTGTGTCTCCACCACTCCAGCACGTCCTATTTGCCATCGCCTCCTCTCTGGGCAGCAGAAGCCTGAATTGGATACAATATGTGAAGCCCAGTGGAGAGAAAACAAAATCAGAGCTGAGATCTAGGAGGGATCTTATTTAGTAAGGGGTTAAAAGAGGTTTGGTTTTGTTTTTTTTTTTAAAGTAGCACTTTAAAAAAAGGGAACTCTTATCTAGAACCCTAATTTCAAACTGATTAGAAACCACCATGTTACCACGGCAAAAGGGCGGGAGATGGAGTGAATTCTTGCCTGCTTAGCCTTCCCCATTCCCTGTGGCAGTGTCTGGAAACAGTCTGAACAACACCCTCCCTTTTTTTTTTTTTTTTTTTTTTTTTTGAGTCAGGGTCTCATTCTGTTGCCCATGCTGCGGTGGTATGATCATGGTTCACAACAGCCTCAACCTCCTGGGCTCAGCCTCCCAAGTAGCTGGGACTACAGGCACATACCACCATGCCCAGCTAATTTTTTTATCTTTTGTAGAGATGAGATCTCACTGCGTTGCCCAGACTGGTCTTGAACTCCTGGGTTCATGCAGTCCTTCTGCCTTGGCCTCCCAAAGTGCTGGGTTTACAGGAGTGAGCCACTGTGCCTGGCCTATCCTCCCATTTTATAGGTCAAGAAACTGAGATCTAGAGAAGGGATGTGATTGACTTTATGTCACTTAACAAGTTAGAACCCCAGCCAGGATTAGAACACCTTCTCCTGAGAACTGTTCCTTGGTTAGAGGTGTGTAGGCCCCTCAGTTCTGGGGTGTGCCTGTCATGAGCAGACTGCAGTATCCTGAGGAGTGAGCCAGGAGAGAGCACACTCAACTGAGGCCCGGGGTGCCTGGAGCAGAGCCTGTCTCAGAGGCTTGAGTTCTGTCTCTGTCCCCTGCAGGGTGGTGTACCACGAGCTGGTGCTGACTACAAAGGAGTACATGCGTGAGGTCACCACCATCGACCCCCGGTGGCTCGTGGAGTTTGCCCCAGCCTTCTTCAAGGTCTCCGACCCAACCAAACTCAGCAAGCAGAAGAAGCAGCAGCGTCTCGAACCCCTGTACAACCGCTACGAGGAGCCCAATGCCTGGAGAATATCCCGCGCCTTCCGGCGGCGCTGACATGCAGGCGTGTCCACGTGTCTCCCCACAGCAGACAGTCGCCCTGGGCTTGGCTCACTCTTGTGATGACAGGCTGGTCCTGGGAATGCAGCTGTCCTGTGACTGAACATCCTACCCTGGCCTAAACCTGACTCTCATTGCTTCCCTGGTGGTAAAGTGAAACCAGGGATGTCAGCCTGGCTTCCCCCCCCCACCCGAGTCTCGGGCCAGTTGCGCCATCTGCAGGAAAGGGGCAACTTGTGCAGCCCTCGATGGGAAGGGATAGAGTGGGCACCTGGCACAGGGCCATAGCTAGGGCCCCCACGCCCATCAAGCCCTCTGGAGTAGGGAGCTGCTGTGCTCATCTAAAGAGGGGTCCCCGCTTCCCACCCCCTCCCCTGCCTGTACTTTGGCTTAGCCTCCTGGAAATATTTATTTTCTTAAGGAAACAAAAATGGTTTTCTGTGACTGTTTCTTTTAGCTGAAAAGTTAGGATACCAGCCTGGGCTGGGGTGAGGGAGCTCTGTGTCTGCTATGGCTCACAGGATGAGAATCCTGAGTCCCCTGAAGCCAGAGGCCGGAGCCTCTTTGGACTTGGGCATGATGCCTGACTCAGACCTCCAGGCTTGTTCTCTAGCATCAGCCAGCCCTGCCTCACAGGGGGTCTCCCTTGATTCTCTATGCCCATGCCACAAGCAATGCTGTGTGTTGAGCATAGCACCCTTTCCCCTCGCCGCTCCCTCCCACACACAATGTGCAGCATGTCCCGTTTCTTTTTGAAACATGCTGAGGACTGACGCAGTGTTGGTTTTGTCTTGTTTGTTTTTTTCCCTGAGGTCCTGGGTGGGCTTTAACAAGAGGATTTTACAGTCAAAGCTTCCCTTCCCCTACTCCAAACAAAATGAACAGAACACCTCAGAGTGGGTTTGTGCTGCCCAGGGTCTGTGCTCGGGGTTTGTTCTTAGTGGTTTTCTCCTGATACTTCCTTGAGGAAGGCCACCTCCCAGTCTCCCAACACCCGGCTCCTGAAAAGGCTCCTTACCTGGAGGATCATCAGGCAGGTCCTGTTGGGCCAGGTTGTGGAACTTCTAGAAAGCTGGTCTGGATTCAGCACTCATAGGAAGCCCCTGGGAGATGGGGCCCAGCCTGTTACGGTGCTGCCTGTCCCCTTCCCGTGTTAGTAAGTTCTGAAATGATGTCAATACCAGAGCTGCACGCCAGACGTGGAAAGACCTTATGGCATTCCAGGATAAAGGAGTGTGTTGTTGCAGGGCAGCAAGTTCCCCCGTCCTTGAAGACACAGTTCAGCAAGACCCCCCAGGGAGAGGCATACAGGCCAGGCAAGCTGCTGGCTGCAGGTTCCACCCCTCTGCTCAGCGGCCGGAGCCTCCGGGTGCTCTGCGTGTGTGCCTTGGGAAGACCAGGCCAGTGATCGAGTGCTCACCTCAAGGGCCTTGTGGGAAGGGCCAGTGCAGAGGCCACAGATGAAACCAGAAGGAAAGTGGGGCTGGGCACCCAGCTCCCCAATCTGTTTGTGTTTGGGGGGCTCTCGCTCCATCACCCAGGCTGAAGTGCGGTGGCTTCATCCTAGCTCACTGCAGCCTTGGACTCCTGGGCTCCCGTGATCTCCCTGCCTCAGCTTCCCAGTTTGTGCCTCCTCGCAGTTAAATTTCAGCCTCTTCCTCATTCATAAACTCCAGGGCATGGTGGCCCAGCCCGGCCCAGCCAAATTCAGACACTGATGGTGCTGGCAGCCAGGAGGGAGGTTTAGGTTTGAAGCTGAGGTTGAAAAGAGACGTTCACAGGCCAAGGGTAAGGGGCAGCAGGGTTGGGATCTTTCTGGCTTTGGTGAGGAAAAGGAGGACCCCCGCCCTGTGGGTGTTCCTTGACCATCTCTGCCCTGGAACTGGGGTTGCTTCTCTGCTTGTGACAATGTAGCAGGGGCTGAGCTTTTGGCTGTCCCTCAGGAAGGCAGAGTTACAGCAGAGTGGAGCCTGCTGAGGGAGAAGGGTCCTGCCTAGGTTCAGAAGGGGAGCTCACCTGCTGCTCACACACGAAGAGCCCTTGTTTCTCTTCCTGAAGCCAGTGTCTCCTGAGATTGAGGGACAGCCCAGGAGAGCATGTAGGTCTTGTGCAGGAACTGGAGTCTTGACCACTGGTATACATGGGTCACCACAACTCAGCGGGAGCCTTGCTCTGCTTTGCCAGTCCCTGCACATGTGCTGATGTAGGGACTGTCCCTGTGAGGACCTACTGGTCAGGCTCCCAGGCCAGGTTTACTCCATCCATCTGGAGCACAACCCAGTCCTGGAGAGCCGGCCTGCAGCCCAGAATGTCTCCTGTGGTTGCTGAGGCCTGGCTGGAGCAGCGCTCCTGGGGTGAGGGTTTGGACGGAGCTAGGGGGCATGGCTCACCTGGGAGCAGTTCAGAGGGCAGAGGTGAAGGTCTCCACCTGTGGAGACCTTTCCTGCTGCTGCTGCTGCTCTTTGAAACCCCTCCCAAGTGGCAGACTCCGCCCTCAGATTTCCACCTTCGCCCCACCATGACAACCTGACTTTAATATGGAATTTTTTATATATATATATATATATATATTTTTTTTTTTTTTTTTTTTTTTTTTAAACTTGTTTTTAGCACCCATTTTGTTTCTTGCTCTAAATCATCTTGTGTTTTCTTTGCAGGTAGTGGTCGTGAGGCCATTTCCTCGAGGGTCACGTGGTCTGGGGTGGTGTTGGGCAGGGGCTGTGGTGACCTGGCTCAGGCATGGACAGAGTTGGTTGGCCTGGGCCCAGAACAGCAGCAGATCTGACAGGAGAGGCCTGTTCTCACCTGAGCCTGCCTCCCTGAAGCTGCTTCCACAGGGGCTGACTCCAGACCTCCCTCCCACTTCCTCATCCGCTCCCTTCCATCTGCTAGATTACATTCCATTCCCTTTTTTGGCTTTGTCTTTTCTTTTTTTTTTTTGTCTTCCAGGCGGGAGTTCAGTGGCACAGTCACAGCCACCACAGCCTCAACCTACTGGGCTCAGGCTATTCTGCCTCAGCCTTCCAAGTAGCTGGAACCACAGGTGTGTACCACCACACCTGGCTAATTTTTTTATTTATTGTAGAGATAAGGTCTTGCCAAGTTGCCCAGGCTGGTCTCGAACCCCTAGACTCAGGCAATCCTCTTACCTCCGTCTCCCAAAGTGCTGGGATTACAGGTGTGAGCCACCACCGCACCTAGCTGGCTTTGCCTTTTCTACCCATCCCCAAAACCGCGGCTCACAACCCTGGTCTCTCCCAAATGCAGACAAGGAGAATCCATGCTGTCTGCCTCCGTTAGCCTGTCCCCTTCACTGGCCAGAATGCAGGGCCTGCTCCAGCCCTTCCTGTGCCCTCTCACCTGGGAGTCTTTCTTCCCAGGGTGTGGCCCCCTCTCCAGACAAACACTTGTCCCCAGTCACAGCAAAAACAGCAACCTGGAGCTGAGATGGGAGGGAGGACTCACAGTTGGGTCCTGCAGGAACCAGAGACCAAATCCCCACTCCAGGTGCTGGGAGGCTGCTGCAGGAACCACGTGGAAGATGGCCAGATGACAAAGTGCCCTCAGCCCAGTGTTTCTGGACCCTCACACAGTGACCCTGGGAGGGGGAGAGCAGGCATCACCAAGCCCATTTTGTAGAGGAAAAAGTCAGAGGTGAAGGGCCTCTGTCATCTGTCCCCAAGGCCAGAGCTCTGCTGGCCCCAGGTCCTTTTCCAATGGCAGCAAAGGACACGGGAGAACAGACAGGAGAAGCAGGGGCTTTTATTAAGGTCTGACAGATGAGGCGGAAGTAGAACCCCAGGCCTGGGCCTAGGAACAGGCAAAGGAAGGGCACAGGCACCCTGGAGCGGAGCCCCTCCCTCCCTGCCTCCACCCAGCACCCCACACCACGATCATTCCTCCTCCCTTCCCCTGCCTCTGGGAACACAGCACCAAGAACTGGCAGGGACCCACTGGGGCCACGGCTTAGGGCAGTGCCGAGTCCAGGGTCCCCCACAGTGAGAGCTGGGGAGCTCTATGACCCCCGCCAGGAAGAGGTGGGAAGCTCCTCTGTCCTCAGAACAGATCATCTTGTTCTCAGTGGCCCAGGACAGGGAGTGGCTCGGGCCTCGGCACAGGACCCGGAGGAGGCATGGCTGACCTCTTCAGGTCCAGGCCAGGCGAGACTCCCAGGAGCTTCCGAGATGCCACCTTTCTTTAGACTTGCCATCTCTCCACTCTTCCTTCCCAGTGACTCTGGGGAACAGCTCAGAGTTGGCCCGGGCGACTGATGGGACTGCGGAGCTCTGCCCAGACACCTGCGAGCTTTAGAGCAAGGGCTTCCCCAACACAAATCACCTCTATGTACATGGGGCAGCGCCCACCGTGCGGGTGGAGCAGGTGCTAGGGGCTAGTAGGAGTAGCCGCCCTTGGGGCCAAAGGGCTGGGCAGGACCAGCCAGCTCGGGGAGGTAGGCGGGGCTCTCGTCCAAGTGGGACAGAGGGACTGTGTCCTCCTCACTGACTGGCCGGTCAAACTCAGCCTTGAGAGCTGGACGCTGATTGTCGGGGAAGGCCAGAGAGAAGAGGGCCTCGGGCTCGCACACGAACTTGTACACGTAGCGCTCCCCGGCCACCTGAGGAGATGGGCTGCTCAGCCTGGAGACCAGACCCCTCTTGGTGGGAAGGTGGGGTTGGGCAGATGCTGGGGGCATTTCTCTCCCCTGTCAGTCCCCTGTCCCCTCTCACCTCGACCTCTCACACTTGCGGTCACTGTGTAGCACTTGTTGGGAGGAGGCCCCTTGGTCTTGGGATTAAGCACAAATTCCTGTCCCCTCTGACTGGCTCCTTTTTTTTTTTTTTTTT